TCCTTTGCCATTCTGTCAGTACCCTGAGGCTGGGCTCCGCACAAATCTGGTGGTGCCTGGTGCATTCCTGCTTGGGCAGGCGAGGGCATGGAGCATCCTGGGAGCTGAGCTGGGCTGGGCGGGCCCTCACTAGGATGGAGGAGGCTGACCCAGGGGAGGGCCTGGGGAGCCAAGACTCAGAGTCCAGCGGGTGCAGCCAGTGCTGACTCACTTGGGCATGGGGTGGGGTGGGGTAGCACCTTCCCAAGAAGTGAGCAACTCCCTGGCAAGGGGCTAGTCCTGAAAGTCAGGCTGGGTCCAGAACCCCGGCAGCTGCACAAAGGAGGGGGTTCCAACTCCCACGGGAGGGGCAGTGAAGGCATGTGTGAACCCACCAGGAAAGATGGAGTTCAGCGCTGGCTGGACAGGCCCAGTCCTCTGCCCGTGCATCCTGAATGTGGCCTCCATGACTTGCTGACATCCCCTTCCTCACCATCCCCCCAACCCCCCCACCCCATTCTGTGTCTTCTCACCCCTGGACCACTGAACTGGCTTCTCACTGCTCTCCTTGTCCTGTTTGTTTCTCTAAAAAAAAGGCTGTGGTTCTGGGGGGACCCTGGCCTTGAAGCAACACCGAGGTCACCTCACTTCCTCTCTTGCTGGTATCACTACCCCCTTCCTTTGTTCTTCCCTCCCATTTATCCCACAACTTCCTTTATTCTGTCATGCCAGGCCCTAGAGGCCCCCTGAAGGAACTGGGAATCTAGCTTGGAGAACAGGAAAGGATGACAACATTCTTGCACTCACTGAATCATGAGTTCATTCATTTCTGCATGTGTTTCCTTTCATTCACTCACTCACACATTCCTCATTTCCCATTCAATTACTCATCCTTCATTCTCTGGACACTTACTGAACATCTACTGTGTTCAAGATCCTGAGCATTTGGTGGGAGGCAGGCAGGATATTCCATCCCTGTTGCTTGCTTGCTTGTTCAAGTTCAAGAAGGAGAAATTAAAACAAATCAGCCCAATTGAAGAGAACAGGCAGAGTGAGAAAAATAAAGGGCTGTGAATTAGGTGCATGTGCTGGGGTGGGGGTGAGGTGCAGAGGTCACAGAGGAGGAGGGGCTACTTAGGAGGGGCCCAGAAGACTTCCTGGAGGTGGTGCCATTTGTACCCAGCCTTGTTGAGGGACAGGTTTTGGATACAGAGTTATTAGAGGGCATCAAGGTGGAGGGAACAGCAGGAACAAAGGAAGCCCCAGGCATGTGAGGGAGCAGTGGGAAGCTTTGTTCATGGCTTGAGAGATAGAAGAAATGTCTGGGCCAGCGGCAGGTCAGGGCCCAGCAGAGAACAGGACACATGCTCCCACATCCCTGCCAGCTGTCAGGCCAGGGGAGCAACCTTGTTCTGAGTGACTCAGAGCTACAGCTGTGGGGTGATAGCAAGACCCTTGTAGCTCTTGGAGCTCTTAATTTATAGGCAGCCTTAGATGGAGTGTGTGCTTAATCTTGGAGGTACATGAGAGGAGGCTGGGATAGTAGATGTGTGTGAGGTGGGGGGAGAGCTTTAAGTTCTGGCCCATGGAGGGGTTTGGCTAGGAGAGCGCTGCAGGTGAAGTTGGAGTGGGTGATGTCTGAGAGCCTGTGGTCCTATCTGGGAAGGCTCAAGGGCCTGGCAGAGGGGATTTCTGGGTTTGATTATTTAGTCACTCATTCATTCCCTCATTTGCCCCATGTCTCTCCCTCCTTTCATCATTACTCACTGAACCCTTGCCCTCCTGGGTAGATCCTGTTCTGAGGACTCAGGTTATCAGCTGAGATCCCTGCTCCTGTGAGTTCCCAGCCTAATGGAGGAGACAGACCCATACCTGATGAGAACAGCCCAGCACCATTATGGAATATAAATGGAGAGTACTTCATTTTGTTTTGTCACTGAGTGGGGCCTGATGAATTAATGTGGACATTTGTCTTCCAGGGAGTCCCCATCAGTGGGGCGGATGAAGGATGGAGTGTGGGAAAAGGAGTGTTTGCAGGGGGAAATACTTTAGGTTCAAGGGCTTAAGAGGCAGGCTTCCTCCATTTGTGGGACTCCCCAGAGGCCCACTCGAGGACTGGGCCTTTGGGCTTGAAGGCGCCACAATTTCATCCCACTCCAGAAATGAACCTACTGGATTCTGGAACCTCTAGAGAATTTGCCGGTCAGCATAAGCTATAAGCAGGCTATGGAGAGTGGCCATTAAATCTGTGGGCTCCGGATTAGATCAGGGTTCAAACCCTGCTGCTAACTCTTACCAACTGCATGACTTTGCACAGATGATTCTTTGCCTCTGCTTTTCCTCTGTAGGAGAGTAATAATCACAGTATCTTCCTCTTAGGGCGAGGCCCAAAGGTGGAAACGTGTGCCAAGTGCTGTATTTACTTACATCACATGTAAGTAACGCACACACACAAAGGCATGGGAGAAGAGTTGTGACGCTAATGATGACGATGATGAGATGACAGCCATGTACTGTCAAGAGCTGCCCTTAAAATCTCTGGGCCTCATTTTCTCCAGCTGTAAAATGGGAGAGCTGACTTGGCTCACTGCTGCTGTGTATGGTCCCTGGACCAGCAGCATCAGCATCAGCATCACACGGGATCTTGTTAGAAATACAAATCCTTGGGCTTTACTGCAGCTCTCCTGGAGAGGGGGGCCCAGCAATCTGTATTTCAACAAGCCCTCTGGGTGATTCTGGTGCAGGCTGAAATTTGAGACCCACTGACCTAACTACCCCTTCAGATCAGTTCTCCATCTGGCTTTCCAGGACTAGAATTCATCCAGGGGTGTTTCTTGTTTCCTGCATTTAGGGCCCTGGTCTGGGGCTTTTTGGGGGGAGTGTTAGACGATGGTGTAAGAGATGAGGAAGATGTGGTCTCAGCCCTCAGGGGGCTCCCAGGTGAGTTGGGGAGGGGAGGCAGTTATCCAGGGAAATAATCACCAGAGTAGTAGGCCAAACAGAACTGCTGAGGAGACACAAGAGTCCGTTCTGTAATGAGTAGCCAGAGGAGAGACCACTGTGGGCTGGACGGGCCTCTGCAGAGAGGTCTGGCCCTCTGTTGTTGCTTGTTCCTAATACTGATTCAGTCTTGCTGGAACTCCTCTTGTAAGTCTGACTGAAGCCTGTCTTATTTTATGTCTTTTTGTGGAGTGGGGTGGACAGGGCTCTAACCTTGAGGTTAGGAGTGGTTGATTTTAGACACCTTCCTCACTGTAGGACTTGAGGTGGCTCAGTTTTCATCCCTGGACCTCAGTGTAACCATCTGTCAGATGGGGGGACTAGACTGAGTCCAGTGAGTCTGCGACTTTCTGGACCTCTGCAGAGAGGGCAGAGTTTCTATTCCTTCATCACATGGTGAGGATGCTGAAATTGACCTGGCTGCCTGCCCGGATCCAGTGAGGCTGGGGATCCAGCAAGATGAGCTGTCCCCGATCTGGGCTGGTCTCCTTGCCAGCCCAGGGAGTCCCAGGGTAGCCGTGCTGTTCACTTCTTGTGGCTTTTGTCATGTCGAGTGTGGTTTTCATTCTCAGGGCTTCTTGATGCCTAAACCCTGTTACCTGGCATTCGAGGCCCCCCTCTGCAGATTTCCAGCTTTTCTTTGTCAGATGAGGATCTCACTGCCCATGACTCCATTGTGTTCTGTTCCTGTTAGGCCTTCCATTACACCCCTCTTCTCAACCTGTCCAAACCCATTCAGTCTCCCCAGCTCTAGTACTCCCTCCTCCAGGAAGTCACCTAGATTGCTCCAAACCTCAGTGCCCTCCTTGGACAATCTTACAGTCTTTAATGTGTGACTTTAGTTCTTATCTGTAGACTCTGAACTGCTGACAGAACATAAGCTCTTTGAGGGGAAGGCCTGAGCACCTAGGGATAGACATTAGAGAGTCCTTGACTCCTAGAGCAAGGAAGCCCAGAAATAGGAGGGAACTTTCCCAAAGTCACACAACACATTAGTGAAAGAACCAAGCTCAGAATCAGGTGATTCAGGCCCAGAGTGGGACATTATTAGGTGTGTGGTTAGTGAACTGGAGGCAATAAGGGGCAGAGGAAAGGGCAGAGGCCTCAGCATCGGACTGACCTCTGCTCCAGCATGGCTCAGCACTCCAAAGCTGTGCACCTGGGGCATGTCTCCTGCCTTCCCCAAGAGACCTGCTCATATGGGGCCTGGCACACAGTAGGTGTTTGGTTATTGTGTGATGTTCGTTATTATTCCTGATCCACTTGCCCAGCCCAGCTTGCCTGGTCCCCTTGGCTTTTCTTAACCACCAAGCACTTTATTTTATGGTCCTGTCATGAGAAGTCCAACGTGCATGTCAAAGCCTCCTCATTAAGCCTCTTGCAAAAGTGAGAAGAAGGGGAAATCCTGGCAGGCTAGTCAGTGGTGGCTGCAGAGTGGCGGGCTGGGTGCCCAGGGGGCTGAGCCCTGTGGAGCCAATGGTGTGTGATGTGGCAGGTGCCACTTTTAGAAAAGTCATACTGCCTATTTTAAGAAAGTGAGGGGGTGTGCCCTGTCCCTATCAGGCAGCTGCTTGATGCCAGCAGCCTGGAGTGATGGGGCAGGCGGGTGACACTCCCAAGGGTGAAGAGTCCTAGCAGGTGGGTCTGGTATCTTTCTGGGAGACTGCTGACAGCTCTCTGGCCTTCTTCCACCTTCTGGCCTGACCCCATTTGGATGATGGAAACCCAGTGCCTGTTTTGCCAGTCTACTGTTGGGGCTGGGGAACTGCCTGGCTTCTTGGAGCAAACCCAGAGCCCAGAGACCCCTTGGAGAGGCTGTCAAGGGCTGGAAGCGGGGGTTATGAAGTTTGGCTGTGGCCGGAAGGGCAGTGTCTGGCTAGGTGCCCAGGGGACAGGCCCAGCCCCCTAAAGTGGCTGTGGCCCAGCTGGCAGCCTCTGTCCTTCTCCAGCAGGCAGGCACAGGAGCCTTCTGTGCAGGGGCTCTCCGAGCAGGGGGGCAGAGGGCAGTCTGAGGAGAGTCGGGGACTGGGTGATAGCAGCTGGGCTCAGGAGACGCAGGAGCTTGGAGGGAGGTGCCGGAGGCGAGGTGGAGGAAAGGCGGCAGGCTTCGTTTGGAGCCCGAGCCCGGCTGCCGCTCAGGAGCCCCGCAGTTCTCTGAGGGTGCCCCCATCAGTGCGGCCGGCTAGCGGGTCTTGGCGCCATGATCCAGAATGTTGGAAAACACCTGCGAAGGGTACGGAGGGCGGGCTGGCTGGGATTGGATGTAAAAGGGAGGAGGCTGGAGCCTGGGGTTCCTAAAAGAGAGTTGAAGTTTGTGTTTTAAGTCAGAAGTTCTACATGTCTCATTTTCCACAGGCCATTTTTTAGTTCTCTTTGGAAGGAGAAATTGCAGAACCCCTGGGCTGGTTTATTATAAGGAACAACCCCAAACAAGCCCCAGGCTGGCTGTATTGAGAGGAATCACCTTCGGCAAGTTCTTTACATCTGAAATTCTGTGCTGGGAGTACACATTTCTCCCCACGGAGTTCTGTGCGTGTTTCTGCGGGTACTCTGAGCTCCGTGGCTCTGCGGTATTTAACTCTTAGGATTTAGGGCTTGAAGGCTACAAAGCAAATACAAGTTATAGAGCTAGGGGCATGTGTGTGGGGGACTGAGTGTGGCAGGCTGAAGCCAGCGATTGTTTGGGACAATGATGTCTTTTGAGAGAGCAAGTGTAGGACAAACAGGGACTGTTGTAAAAGTGTCATGCAAGGTGACCTCCCAGAGAACGTTTCCCTGGAATCTTAACAGGAACTTTGGAGCCGATATTAGATGCTGAGGCACGGGACAGGTCCAAGTGCTTATTGGTGCCTGGCGGGGCCTTTGATCTGGTGAAGGGAGAAGGGTTCAGGGCAGACTGGCAGAGGTTGGCTGGCCATAGAGTGGGTGTCCTCTGGGGATGCTTTCAGAAAAAGCCTTTTTAAAGGGAGCAGAGGAAAATAAAGAAATCTTGTATCCATCCCTTCCCTCCATGTGCATGGCCACCACTGGGCTCAGACCTCAGCACTGTCACCCACCCACACTGTGCCTTCTCCCTGCTTCCCTGGTCCCGTGTCCAGTCCCTCCCCCCTTCTGCTGGAGGGAAGCTTCTAAAAGGTAAATGTGATTCTTGCACACCTGCTCATTCCTTATGTGATACAAAAGGGTCTTGGTAATCTGTTCCTGCCCACCCTCTGCCTCCTCCTTCTACCTTCGCTACCCCTCTGCACTTAGTATGGCAGCCATAGTGAACTGCTGGCTACTGCCTCAGTGTACCACCTTTGTTCTCTTCCCTGTGCTGTGGTATATTCTCTGCTTTCTGCTAGAGTACCCCCAGCTTCCCCCTGCCATCTGCTAGTTTGTCTCCCTGGAAAGTTCCTTCTGAGCCCTCAGAGCTCAGCTCAGATGCTGCCTCCTCTAGAAAGCCTCCCCAGATTTCTCACAGCACAGCAAGCCTTAGTGTTTGCTCCTCCTGCTGCTGCTGGATTGTGTAGTAGACTTGCATGGCCATCTCTCCCACCAGCCAGTAAATTCCTCAAGGCTGCTGCAGGGGTGCCCAGCATGGGGCTGGGCATGGCCAGAGCCCCAGATAATGCCTAGTGAATGAGCAGACACAGGCAGCTTCTTAGTGAGGCCTGAGAGCAGCAGGGCTTCTCTGTGCCCTGAGGGCAGGGCCTAGAGCATCTTCAGGTGGGTGGGGCTGTCTGTGTCTTCTGTGCACTGTTATCTTTAACCCTTCACAGCTCTTTTCTTTTCCATTGAGACTCATCAGTAATTAGGGAGAAGGTGATTGGGGAGGGACTTATTATCATCACCATTTTTCAGAGGTAACAACAGTAGCAAATCCTTATACAGTACTGACTACACTAGGTACCAAACCAAACACTTTGCATATATTGACTCATTCAGTTCTCAGTGAGGTAGGTATAGTTATTCCCATATCCCAGGTGAGAAAACTGAGGCTCAGCTGTTGAGGACTTGCCCAGGATCACACAGGTAGGAAGGGGCAGAGCTAGGACTTAAAGTCAGGCAGTGTGGCTGCAGAGTTTGAGCTCTTTGGGAATCTTCAGCTCAGCCTGATGACAGTTCAGAGTGGGTTTCCAACACGCATGTCCCTACTCAGAGCCTCTCTGGCATTCCACTTCCACACACTGCTGCCCACCCCGAGTCTGGGAGTAGGAGTGCGTGTAGGGCATGGAAGTTGGGCCCACTAGGTGACAAAGGTGACCTCATGCTGGCTGAGTCACTCTGGCCTTGACTGCCACCTTTGGATCATCACATTCATGAGCAGTCTCCTTGGACTCCCCTTGCTTCCTCCCAAATTCCTGTAGTTCCCCAGGAATCCAGGAGGATTTGGGGCCATTTTCTGGGTTGTTACCAAAGCCATTTTTAATGAAAAGCAGGCAAACCAGAAACGCACCACACTTTTCACTGGGGATAAAGAAAGCCAGGTTAAACTGGGAACAGAAAGTGGGCCTCAGATAACCCACAAGACCTGCTTCACAGGGTTTGGGGGCCCTTGTCTGTATCTTGTGGCTCTGCAGACAGTGAGCATTTTAGAGTTGGATGGTTCTGGCTTGTACCCACCACTGGGTACCCAGCAAGCACTTGGCACATGTGAGCGAGTGAGTGAATGAATGAGGTGATGAGTCTGCTGTCAAGCTGGGGGTGGAGGGGTAGAGGAGATCAGAGTTCCTGCTCCTGAGCTGGTGGAAGGGCCCCCTGTCCTGTCCCAGTCCTTGCCTCTCTCAGTGGAGACCCTTCTCCTTCCCCTTCCATGTGTCAGTCTGTATAGGGCACTGAGTTTCACACTCCTGGCCTGGCAGGGACCTGCTGGCACCCTGGTGGGAGGCTGGGAACCTCTGTTCAGCCTCGGTTCTAGCCCGATCCAGGTCAGCTCCTGGGAGCATTATTTACTCTGGAAATGGTGATGGGGCTGCTTGACCCAGTTCCCCTGAGAAGCCCTGAGCCGCTGGTGCTGCCGACAGGGTGGTGGGTCAGACACAGTGTGAGAGTCTGTGTGTGTGTTCCTGCACCCACAGACCTACCTGCTGCTCCCACCGCCCGGCAGGGATCCCACTGCTCCACTCTGAACCTGACCCTGCCCCAGACCCCAACATCATTAGGGGTCTAGTTCAGAGTGTGGGGAGATTTAGGGCATAGTGTTTGGCCATCCCTGGATTAGAATCTTATCTTCACCCCATTGCTTTTATGTAACCTTCAAAACCTGGCTCAGCCATTATTTCCCCTTCCAGTCCCCATCCTGCTGCTCCCAGAATCAGTGGCGTCTCCTCAGGATGTTGTATTGACGTCAGTTGTTCCCTCTGCAGGGATTAGCATGGGGCAGGTGCAGAGTACACTGTGATGAACTCAGGCTGACAGCCAATGAGGGAGACACAATGAAAAGGTAGTCAAATAAATACACAATAAAAATCTAATAAGTGCCATGAATAGAAGTAATAAGAGTAAATGCCATATAAGTGCCATCTATGTGCCAAGCATGCATTAACTCATTTATTCCTTATAACAACTCTGTGAAGTAGATAATGTTGTCATGCCCATATTAATGAAGAAACTAAGTCAGAGAGGTTAAGTAACTTGCCCAAGGTTACACAGCTGTTCAGTGGCACTGCTGAGATTAAACTCAGGTTTCTGAACAGGGAACTGTGAGAGAATAATGAGGGAGGTCAAGGGACAGCTCTCTGAACAGAAACCCAGTGGCTGAGAAGGAAGCCCAGGGGAGAAGCTGAAAGAGCATTCCAAGCAGAGGGAACAGCACTGATTGGCAGGCTCCATGGTATAGGGCACTTGGTGCATCTGAGTGGCTGAATGGAGGCCAGTGTGGCTGGAGTAGGGTGAGCGAGGCCTGAGCAGCTGGAGGCTGTGAGGTGCTGCAGGCTGGGGGTGCTGGGCCTGTTGGCAGGGCTCGGGGTTCAGAGGGCTGGGGGTTGTATTGTCCTGCCACCAGGCTGTGCACTCCTTGAGGACGCTCTGGGCCCTGGCTTGGTGCCAAGGTGCGCAGTCCCTGCATACTTACTCCAGGGACCCAGGGAAACACATACTCAGGGTTCCTCTCCTCTGTATGACTGGCATGAAGGTCTCAGCCACCTGCCTGACCACCCTGAGCCCCCACAACAGGTGGGTGATGATAGGATCAGCCCCTGACACAGAGAAGTCAGAGGATGTGCCTGGGCTTGTACCAGTGGCGAGGGACCCAGAGGTCCTACTTGCTAGGCTGAGACCCCCTTCTCCAACCCCTGACTTGGGCAGGGAGAGATCTGGAGCCTCTGGGCACCCAGGAAGTGGCCTCACCGTCACACTCAGATCCGCCCCTCAGCGACTGCCGCCCACCTTCACATGCTGACTGTGCAGATTCCCAGCTGATGGCCCTCCCCTCTCCTCACACCCACCAGGGTTGAGGGAGGCCGCACCATGGCCCTTCACCCATGTCTGGTCCAGGTGGGGCCATGTGGCTGCCTGGCATCTCTGGACGGCTGCTCATGAGTCCAGAGACCTGCCTTAGGACATAACTCACTTCGCCCCACGGGCGTTGGTTTCCTCACCTGCGAACCAGGTCTGCTCCTACAGATTTTGCTAGACTGTTGGCAAGATTGAAGACTTTGAGGAATGTATAACTTGTCGTGTGACTGGCCATGGCAAATGCTGGCTCTTTTCTTTTTGTCTCATCTGGACTTCAGTTTCCTCAATGGGTGAGTGACAGGAGTCAGTTGGTTGGATGAGATGGTAAAAGCTAACTTTTGTTGAGTATCCACTAGGTGTCAGGCATATTTGACCTTCCCAACAGCTCTCGTAGGCTGCTGGCATTCATCTGGCTTTATGGGTAAGAAAACCAAGGCTCTGGCATGGAGCTACTTTGGGCTAGTTAGAGAATTCAGTCTTCTCTGATCCCTGGGCAGGAGCCCTGGTGCTGTGGCTGCTCTCCTTGTCCTGGCCTGACCTGGCTGAGCCGAGGAACTGACACTTCTGCCTTGTGCCTGCTCTGTCCTGTGCCTCCAGGGACAGTTGGTGCTGCCGGCTCCGTTCTCTGCCAACTCACTGGCTGTGGGCCTGTGTGCTCCTGCCATTCCCCAGGAGCAGCCTCCTGTGGATAGGAGGCAGCATCAGGGCAGTGATGGAAAGGACCAGAGTCCAGTGCTTTGGGGACAGAGGGATGAGTCAGAATGGACCCAGTGCTTTGGGGACAGAGGGATGAGT